CTTCTCTGTCGGCATAATTTTGAAAACGGAGAGAAAATTGGTCTTTTTCCGGGTTTTCGGTTTTTATTGTTCCGACTTTCGATACGAAAGTAACGGGATATTTGTGCTCGAGGTGGGTTTTTTTTTCTTCAGACAAATTTCGACTTTTTAACTAGCCTTTTTTGACAGATTTTTTTTTATAAAATCATTCGAAAGCTATTGTTGTCCTGAGCTCAATTTTGAAAAGATTTTTCACCTGTGATAATTTTTCGTAAAGTTATGGGGGTTTAAATATTGCCGTTTTGGCCAATTTGGGATAATTAACGCGCGATATATTTCGCACTATTTACGCGTAAGACGAGATTTAATCCGTCTTAGAAATTTTTCCAATTGGTTTAAAGAAGCTTATTTGCCATAATTGATTTGTTACAAGGAGTTTTCTATCCTTTTGTACTTTATATGGCGTATGGGGGATGATTTTCATAAAAAGTTTCAAATTTTAGAAGAAAAAAAATTCGTTTTAATTTCTTTCATTTAATTTTTTAAGGTTATTACTGCTCCGTAAACCTTAAAATGCAGTCGGAACATTCAGGGCTTCGCCTTGACACGAGCAGTCTTGTTTTGTTAACTGTTATTTTAAAAAGAAATAATCAACTTTTATTCAATGAAATCAAAAAGTACGTTCCTGAGATAGGCGAAGATTTTATGAAATATAAGTTATTTACAATTGGTTATAAATTTGCCTCAAAGATGCATTGAGACATCTCCCCTCCACGCGAAGCGAGAGTTCACTTCATTTCATTTGTTATGAGTCGATGAACGTAGTTCAGACTATTATAAAGTTGCAGATGTTTTTTTGTTTTTTTTTTGAAGAGAAGTCTTAAAATTTGCTCAGGCTCATAACCCCAAAAGAGCGCTAAAGGCATGTATTGTTTCTTGAAAATTCAAAAGTTGAAGATTTTTTCATCAAACAATTCAGTTTTTCAACGAACAAGTCAGTTTTTCAAAAAACAACTCCCCAAAATAACTGTATATTGTATTTTTTCGGAATTTATTTTTTGGGCTTTTTCGAATTTACTTTGAAGTTCAGTTCACTCCCTATGTCAAATTGAAAGCAAACTCCACTATCGAATGGCAGAAAGGTAAAGGTCACAAAAACGTGATTGAATACTATTTTCGAAAGTGAAATAAATTTTCAGATTTTCCAGCGGAATAAAAAAAAGTTTACCTGATGATCTAGTTTTCTCAAATTGGGTCAGTTTGATAAAAAAAATGTCAATTATCAATTGTTCTAGACATTTGAAGAGCTTTATTTTGTAGAAAATTTTTAGGACATTTTTTAGTACATATTATCGGACATATATCCTAAGAAAAAATATATTTTTTAGGACATATTTTTTTCTTAGAAGTTCGAAAATTGGGATTTTCAAAAAATAAGTCAGTATTTTTTTTGTTTACTTGATTTCTTTGACTCTTTTCCAACTGTCTGTTGGCTAGGTTTAAAAGAAAGGCAAACTCTACTATCGAACAGCAGACATTTTGCAGCAAAACTATCGAACGGCAAGAACGTGATCGACTTCTATTTTCGAAAATAGAATTCATTTATCAGATTTCACAGCAAATTAAAAATTTAACCTATTGATCCAGTTTTCTCAAATTGGGTTAGTTTCATCAAAAAAGCATCAATCTTCAATTGCTTGTGAAATGCAAAGAGCGCTAAAGGCATGTATTGTTTCTTGAAAATTCAAGTTGAAGATTTTTCATCGAACAAGTCAGTTTTTCAACGAACAACTCCCCAAAATAACTGTATATTGGCGCCGAACGAGACTGTAAAAAGTTTTTAGAGTCAGTCGGCCGAAATTATATGTCGATAATAGTACCTAATGTGGGGCACTTTGGGTGCTAAGGGGGTCGAATCCCTCCACCTTCTAAATCCACCCATGTATTTTACAGTAGGTACATAGCTTTGACAGTAACTTTGGGTTGCTGAAGTCAGTCTTGCCTTGATTTTTCTTGTTAATTATTTTGTTCATGTTTAGGTGCAAGAGGCCTTGGCGCTGAACCATGAGATTATTTATCACGCATTCAAAATGTGTGACATGTATCTGACGAAAAAGCAGATTTTGAAGACGAACTATCAGCTCCTCGGAGTCACTTGTCTGTTCATAGCCACTAAATATGATGTAAGTCATGGAAAAGGCACTCGCAAACATTTGCTACATTTGTTAATAAAGAAAAAGCGTAAAGAAAAGTCAATCTTCAAGAGAAGTTCACTGATATAATACATTTTCTTCAATGCTGTGTGTACATTACAGGACAGAATACCAGCACCGATGACGGACTTTCTCGACCTCTGTGGAAGTACAACCTATTTTGAGGATGACCTGATCAGACTTGAGCAGGACATCCTGCGAAGGCTCAAGTTCGATATCGGATACCCTCTCTCATACCGCTTCCTCAGAAGGTCACTTAGTTTTATTTGAGACGTTGGTATTTAGTGGCAATGAAATTAAGAATGTACGGACATTTTGTAGCTGTAAGTTTTGATATATTCATTTTGAACTTGTACAAATTTTTCCGCTTCGTTTTTTTTTGAAATTAAATTAATGCATGCGGCATTCGCAGAATAGAATTTTGACATTTCTCCTCGAAAAGAGTGATATTTAGGGAGAATTACATCGAATTGTAGATTTGATGGAATCTTCTTCTTTAGGTATTCGACTGTGCAGAACAACAACTTCACAGTGCTGTGTCAGGCCCGCTTCTTTCTGGAGTGTAGCGTGCTGGAGTATGCATTCTGCAAATACAGAGAATCACTTTTGGCGGCCGGATCTCTCATGCTGGCTCATTTGACTCTCGGAACTGGCACATGGGTAAGCTGTCGAACTGGAGTGTTGTAGATGACGGTGGGTATGCGGTCTTAGACAAATTTAGGCAGACAGTTCATCAAATAGACAAATACTGTTTTAATCAATCAAGTCGAAATAAGAAAAAAACATACGCAGGAATAATTAATGATTAATCTTGCCAGAGCAAGAGTATTCTAATCGGGAAATAGACCTTTTTCCCCCGTAAACAACTTTCCTTACAAATCTGTAAGAAATTGTGAAGGTGATTATGCAAGTATTTTTGATTTTCTTCTTTAATTTCTCTCCTGTAAGTTAATAGCCCTGACCAGAGGCGGATTTGGGGGGACGCCCCCTCTCAGGGATTCGACCTCCTGCACAACCCAAAGAGTCTCCCCTTGATACTGTTTTCGATATCCAGTTTCGACCGACTGACCCTAAAAGTTTTCTAAAGGCGCCTTTGGAGCCAATACATACTAACTTGAAGGGTTAGAGCGCGTCTAAAAAACGCGATTTGGGTCAAAATTTTCCAGAAAGTGCCCAAAAATGGACTATTTGCTGAAAATTGTCGAATTTGTTGTCGTTATAGTGTTCTGGGAGCAATCGGAAAATCAATTTCGGCAACCTAATTAAAATGTCATCAAAATGTTTTTAAAAATTTTTTGACAACTTAACCCCGCCCCCTCGAGAAAATCTTAGGCCATGACGTAAATATTTCCTTGATTTTCCTTTTCATTTTTTCGCTTGAAGGATCATTTAGCTAAATTATTTTCGGCGTGTTTTCTCGGCTTAGTTATCTTATGTTTTGTTGCTTCAAATGCAAACAAACTTGGGTTTTTTTGAAAACTTAAGGCAGTTTGTGTTGTACATTTCAAAGTTTACAAACTTAATTGCTCAAATTTTTGTTATGCCAACAGTTTCTATGGCTTTTCCATTTCGGCTCAATGGGATTTACCCACCTGTTGTTGGCTTAGTGACATCTAGGTAAATTATATACCTTTTGTAATTCAAATACGTCGCTTCAAGAACTTCAAATACAACAAAGAAAAATTTTAATTGTTATTGTTTAAATTCAAGTCATTCTACAGTGCTGATTTAAATTATCCGGACAAAACGAACAAAACTTGAATTTTCAAACGCTTTTTTCTCAAATTGGGTTAAGATTAGACAAAAAGTGAACAGAACAAAAGTTGCTTAGAATTTCATCAGAATTAACCAAGAAATTTTCTCCGAAATTCTCAACCAAAATTTTACCCCAAGAATGGGTCATTTTGGCTTTTTTCAGTTAATCAAGAATTAAGCGGAAACTACTTTGTTAATTGATAAGAAAATTTTATCACAGGAAGCCTCTTACGCAGCTCAACAAAGTTTAAAAGGGGTTAAATCTCCAAAAACCAGTATAAGAGAAAAAAGTTTCACTTGATAGTCAATAAATGTGATTTTTACTATATAAAACCCAGAATCTCTGTTTAAAAATATATTTTAAACAATTTGCGCAAATTTTTGGAGATTTAACCCTTCTTAAACTTTGTTGAGCTGCGTAAGAGGCTTCCTGTGATAAAATTTTCTTATCAATTAACAAAGTAGTTTCCGCGTAATTCTTGATTAACTGAAAAAAGCCAAAATGACCCATTCTTGGGGTAAAATTTTGGTTGAGAATTTCGGAGAAAAAATAGCACCATAATAATTCTGATGAAATTCTAAGCAACTTTTGTTCTGTTCACTTTTTGTCTAATCTTAACC